GCAAATAACCTTGTAATTCCTCCTACCTCACTTTGCCAGGTTCAGAACAAAGTTAAATGATGCCTGTACCCTATTTGCACATGCTGTAGTGTTGGCCATTGAGATCATGATAGAGTGGGTGAACTCTGTTGATAGATTGAGTCTGAAAAATCTGGCTAATCAAGGTTCAGAAATTGTGTTCCAAGAGGCCGAATGTGAGGTTGGGCTGTGTTTGTGGTGTGGTGCCATAGTATGGACTTGAACATCCATTGACCAGCATTAATCTAGTTACACTGCTAACACATTTGGATCTCAAGGACAGCTGCATAAAACAGGATAAATGCATGAACATGGTGTGGACAGGTGCAAATGCAGACGGAAGCACCACAGCCTGTGCAAGTTTTGAGATTATGGTTGACATACTTATAAGATGACTCCATTATTCACAAATCAGTAGGTGATGATAATCACCATGCACAGGGATACTTGTGTGAGATACACAGCAGAAGGATATGATTACTGCTAGTGCATGTAGTTGGACTCTGATGAGGCTTACATGTTGGATATGATATGCAAGCAAGTCATCCAGGTTAGTCTACGGTCTATAGGTCATTCCGGACACAAATATGTCAATAATGTGAGGTGCAGGCTTAATGTTGATGTGAAGGCCAGAGCTGTAAGGGGAAGTGATCCATCTACCGGAGCATGTTAACTGCCTGTACTTCCGGTAAAGGATGGTCAGGATAGTGCCTCCTACCTCTGTTCCAGGATTGATGAACAAGTCCGGAATGATAAAGTCATTCCGTGGGGTGTCTTTGAACATGCATCCGGCCTCCGTGGCCAGAGACATGAAGAGCACAGCCATACTGGACTATGCCCATTTGTGACAAAGGCGCATTAACCCCATGCGGCTGTGACAGAACGCGGTCACGTGCGGACCAGGCTAATGACGCGCCATAGCAATGCAGGGTCGCTGTGTTTTTTCTGCCTGCTCGCCTTCACCACATTTCTGTGTCTTGCCATCCTTCTACATCGTGTGTTCTCTATATCCCTCATATTTCCAGCGGTATTACTTCTGCCCCCCTCCTCAGCACCACCTATGTCGGATGTACCACCTACCAGTGACCCCATGGCCGCGGCCGGACAGGACAATGGACAAGACCTGTTTCGCCTCTCGAGGATGGACCTGACTGTGGTGGCATCCTCCTATGTGAAGTGGGCAGAGAGCGGGAAGAAGGCTGACGAGCAGAACGCAGTGATAGATGAGGTTGTGAAGCAGCTGGTAGAAAAGGATGCGAGTCTGGTGGCCCGGCGTCCGTTCCTCAGAGAGGTATGATTGTCCTCGTTGTTCCTATTGCTTGATGCGATGTACTACTCCACAGGTGGTCTCCAGCACATTTGATGCCATGCTGGCCTCAAAAAAGGGCCAATGGTCTGGATTCGACGTCGTTGACAAGCTCTACCATGACGACATCCATAAGCAGCTTCCAACGGTATGGGCAAAGGTTTACCCAGAGAAGCCGGTTCCGGACACATGGAATAAGTACTTGCACATCCATTCGATGGCCCGGAAGATTGTCTGGGATGGCCTCTCTCCCACCCAGAAGGCAGAATGCAGTGCACTTGCTATGGTGTGGAACACTGTCTCTCCTCCAGCGAGTGTTCTAGATATGTGAGTTCTGCGGTTCCTATCATCATGTCAACACTGAATGTGTTCATCAGAGAATATACACGCCGGTTCACTGCCAAGCTTGCCAAGTTCCTGGCAGACATACGTCGGGACTTTGGCGTCCATGGCTCCTTCATTTGGGGGCATGTCCATGCTGATGGTGAACCAAGTTTTGGATGGTAAGTCAGGCCATGATGTTAGGTCTCTGGTACTCATGGATATGACTGTAGCTCCGACACCAACTCTTCCGAGTTACACCTTCCGGCCTGGCTCAGGGAGATGGGTGCTGACAAACGGTATGAAGTCATACAATCGTTTGCCAAGTTTTACAGAGCCAACTATTGTAAGTGATAGTCATTCCGGCCCCGCCTGGTTGCTTACATGAAGTCAGGCCCTGATAAGACCACCAAGGGATCTGACAAGAACAAGGCGCCGGAAATAACCAAGGATGCGACTGGCTATCCTATCATGCCGGATGTCACTGGGCTGACCTCCAAGCCCTTGACAACTGTCTTTCGGGAGTTCCTATTGGCGGTCCTCCACCTGGCATTGCCAATCTACCGGCACAAGACTGCGAAGGTTCCCTGGGGCCTTCTCTTGAAGAAGGAGAGGGAAGCATTTACCGTCGATTCACACTTTCCGGAGGGTGACTGGATTGCTATCTTTGAGCCATCCAAGATGGGAGATGATCATATTGCGGTCTTGTGCAAGTACTGGCATACCAAGCAGCACACTGACAAGGTGAATCGTCCGGTGACATTTTCCCAGGTGATCATCGACCAGAAGCTTGGATCCAGAGGGCGTGCTGAGCAAGGTAGGGCCAGCCGGAGTACAACTGCTGTCAGCCGGTCTACCACCACGCAGCCATCCGGTGCAACCGTTCCAGAGGTGAGTGCATCCTTACCATCTCATCCACCTCACTGACTGTATGCCAGGGCACTGCGGTCACTATGGTTCCGGCGTCAACCATACAAGATGGAGATGGGGATGATGACTTTTTCTCCTGCATAGTAAGTCAACATGTCATTGTGTTGGCTGAGCTCACATCCTGTCAGACAAATCCACCGGTACCTCGCCCATCTACGAGACGCCGGATTGGCTCTCCGGAGATGGAGGAAGGTACTGGATCAGAGCATGTGGATGATGGAATGGTGGCAGGAACTGATGCCGACTTTGATTTTGCACTGGAGCTTGACCTTGGTCTCGACTCTGAAAGTGAAGATGGCCTGCCTGCACCTGAGGTCATTGACAAAACACAGTCCGATAAACTTCAGGCGCCGGTGGTCAGCATATCAGTCTCTGATACCGGCATCCAACCTACTCAGGCACCAGCACCAGCACCGGCACCACACCACAAGCCCAAGCCCACTCAAAAGCGGAAGGTCGACACTGTGAGCATATTACAGTACATCAGTCAATCTACCTTCTGATGTCTTCTAGGAGGAATACTCTGATGAACAGGCTCCTAGTAGCAGTGCAAGCAAGCGAATCCGGAAGGCCAGCAATGACACTGCAGGTGCCAAGGCTCAGAGACGCCCAGAGCCGGATTCAGACATAGACACCGACTCCGGTAAGGACTCTGATGTGGACTCTGGAAGTGAAGCACCAGAGCCTGTAACTCCGGTTCGCACTCGGAGCCAGAGGAAGGCCGACACAGGGAAGACCATTCGTGCGCCAGCCAGCCGGCCCACCCGCAATGCAAACAACACTGGGCGGGTCACTCGTAGCCAGGCTGTTCCAGCACTTAGCACTCGAAGCCGTAAATCAAAACCGAAGCGTCATTGATTGCAGAGTATATAATTTGTACAAAGATATGTAAAAAGAAAAAGACAAGAACAATCCATCGTGATGGCACCTACTCCTGCTTCCACAGCTTCGTCTGATCATAGGCCATCAACGTTTCTGCAATCTTGATGGCATCTCCCAAAGTGGCCGGAGGCCAGGAACCATACATCTCTCTGAAAAACTCCGGATAGATGGACCAAAAGACGTCCTTGCCGTTCTCGAGGGTACTGATCATGTGTCCGACACCGGCTTCGGGGGTCTCTGGATGGAGAGCCGTCAACTTGGTGGCCGAGTGGGCGACAAAGAGGTTGAGGAGAAAGGCGGTCATCGAGTCATCAGGCTGCTGCATCATCTGGGTGAGGACGAAGTTGCGGTAGGAGTTGGCGGTCATGCCGGCGGGGACCATCTCGTCAAACACAGGAGGCCGAGGAATGGTTCCAGGGTGCCAGACCCAAGAGACCTCGCCGCTGGTCCTGGGTTCCCGAGACAGAGTCGTTGTTAGACGTCTGGATTCGCCGGGGCCGGGTTCTTCGACGCCGGCTGGACAGTCCTGGTCAGCAATCCGGAGACATCTGAGAGAGCACTCACTCCATCCGTAGGTGGGCATCCGAGATCGGGTCGGCACACCATCTAAGTGACCAGTTAGCACAATATCCGGACACAAGTCAGCAACATACCTGTGCCACGGAAGAATGTAATGTCAGGACGGTCCCCAGTGCCAGCCAGAGCGGTATCGCCCTGGGGCGCCGGGACATTGTCATCACCAAGCCCAGGTACTTTATAAAGATGAGCACAGGAATTGATAGTGCAGGGTCACGTACCTTCAAAGTTGAAGTCGTCATCATCGGTGGCCGGCGCCTGATCGGACTGGGAGGGGTCCTCTGGTAACGCCGGTGTAGCTCCTCCTGTCATTGGCCATAGGCTATCAAATAGACACCGGGATGGGTATGTACATACCGGTTGACCTCCCACCGTCCTCCCCTTCTCCAGCCGGCTCATCAAGCCCGAATGCTGCATCCACTGCAGCGATCACGTCAGCGTGAGCATTGCATACAATGGTAGACCTTACTCTCGAAGTCGAACGGATTGTCTTCCTGCGGGGCCGGATCGGTCTCGGAGTGGGCAGAGGTGCCCGACGCCGGCTGTGCGGACATGCGCGCTGCCAGCTCAATACCGGCTGCAGCAAAGTCTGCAGAGATACATAAGTACATATAGACCGGATATAGATTGGATGCGGACTCACCCCAGCGCCCAGCTGGGGGTGGATAAAGGGGGGATTGGTTAGCAGGGGATCTGGATGGGATGGCGTCTACCACTTTACCTGTTTGCTTAGCGGGTTCACGCTTGGGGGGCATGGGGGAAGAATGGGAATTGCAGAAAAGCGTGCCAGACCCCCATGGCTTATCTGACAGCGAGGGTGTGCAAATAAATGTAAACAACCGGTTCCGGCAGCGCCGGTGCTAAACACCGACAAGCATTGAACTCTAAATGCTGGACGCGCGTCCTCTTGCCCCCTTCTCACCCGCCCACAACCCATCACCACCATGACAGACAACATTTTCACCTTCCCCAGCTTCGCTCCGGCTGCCATACGCACTGTGTATAAATCTGACACCAAGTCCGTTCAAGCCGCCCTCGATTTCCTAGACAATCGATACGCATCAATCGTCGAGGTAGGCCGGAGTGTGCCAGTGGAGCAGCAGAATGAGTTCAGGGAAAGGTTGAAGGCCGAGGTGGTGAGTACATTAGTGTTCTTGTTTGTTATCCATTTCTTTTCTCTTTCCCTACCCTACCCCCACCCCAAGGACGCACTAACGTTCTTCAGCGGCCGGTGCTGCCACTGGTGAGGCCCATCCTGTCGGTGAAACAGGTGGACCTTGTAACCCCTCGCCATGTCGTCGCGGTTGTCGGGTCTGGCATCAACTTTGACTCGCCCCGCTTCCTCAAGGCCATGACCGGCGACACCTACCTACCGGCTGAGAAAACCGGTGAGCTTGGTGGCGACCTTTGGTGGTTGCAGCCACCCTGGGCACCGGCCTCCAAGGCTCTGGTGGTAAGTCGTTTCTTGTCTCGCAAGTTCGCCACTGACATCTTCACAGGCTGAGGCATCCGACGTGGAAATGGAGGAGAGTGCTGTCGAGCCCCCAGCCAAGGGTGCAGGTGAGTCATCATCCCGTCCCTCTACGGGAACGTCGGGCCCCATGCATTCGGGTGACACCTTGGCGGACGCCATCAACCGGGCAGGACAAGGCAAGTCAACATCTTGCTATATACCATACATGCTGATCGGCAATAGCCAATGCGGCAGGCAACTCCGGGACGCCGTCAGCAGTTGCCTCCAGGGCGGCATCTGTTCAGGCGTCGGGGAATGGGCAGGGTGAGAAGGATACCAGGGTGAGTAACCGAACACTCAAGTGGATATTATGCTCACCGGTGGACACAACAGACCAAGGAGACTCCAGAACCGACCGGAAGCAAGGCCAAGGGCATGGCCAAGGACAGCGGCGAAGGCCCACCAGCCGTGAAGGAGAAGGTGGCTACCAAGCCCAAGACGAAGGCGAAGACCAAACCAGCGGATGCGCCCGAGGACGGGGAAGCCGAGGACATGGCTCCGGAGGACAGGGGAAAGAAGGGGAAGGGGAAGGAGAAGGCTGCCACGAAGGAGCCAGAGGCACCGAAGGCACCGAAGGCGGCGAAGGCGAAGGCAGCGAGTGCCAAGAGGAGCAAGGCAGCGACTCCGGAGGCGAGCGAGGTGGAGGGTGGTGAAGAGGCTCGAGCGGCCAAGAAGCAGAAGGGTGACCAGGCGCCAGTGGCAGTTGGCCCCATCGTCGCAGCCTTTGCCCGCGCCGGTGCCCAAGAGGGTGTAAGTCCTTGCCCTCTTATCAAGCGTGTGCTAACAGCCAATCTACCTTGCAGAAAGCCGGTGCGTCATCCCCAAACCCTACCGGCCCCTTCGCTGACTATCGTGTACTACCCCGGTCCAACTGGCCACCAGGCTCCTCCTCTCCGACCAAGCCCGTCATTCCCTCTGCGCCCTCGAGCACACCGGGGCTCACCATGAGCCAGTTCGGGTCTCTCGCCGCCAGCATTGTCAAGCTGGCGGGCACTGTATCGGATCTGGTGGACCAGATGACGGCCCTCAACAAGAATATGACCGGCCTGCAGAGCGAGATGGTCGAGCTCAAGGGCAGCATGCAAGCTCACCAGCTGCGGGAGGCTCCCAGGACCGGTGTGCTGCACGATGCCACCCAGCAGACTGACACCGGAGTGGAGCCGGTCAGTGCTATCCCTGGTAAGCTGATCCAGGCACAGATCTATAGGGAGCCCGGAGCTCGCCTGCCGGGTAAGCCCTATAAGATCAAGTTCGGCCTTTCTAATCCTTATAAAGCCTCAGCCTCGGCTCCTGCAGCTGGTCAAGAGCCTGTCGACATTGACATGGAGAGTGGAGCCGGAGCCCGAGCCCGAGTAGAGGTGGTCCCCACCTTCACTGACCTCAACGAGTCGGCGCCGTCGTCTCAGGCCTAGGCTGGTCCTTTTTTTTTAAATACATATATGACTACTGCACAATGTATCATGATCTCTACGATATGAAATGCATACTTTGCCTGATTCTTTACCCATGCCCCTGACACGCCTTTGGAGAGGAGCATCAGTTGTGTAGGGAGCTCTGTCACACCCACACAACGACAAAGTAGTTCTTCCATCCATCCGGCCAATGGCATAGCATGTTCAATTGTATATGTATGATGACTGTAATGGGTGGGACTATTAGGGGGCCTTAGGAGATGACCGGCCGAACATCTGTCTCTCCCTGGTTTAATCCTTCTAAGTCTCATTTTTTCTATGTCTACTCGCACAACAACCCATGAGGGCGCCAACACTAGAGTCCCCTCCCCTCAACGTCCAAGTACTGCAGCACTTGAACACTCCCACGAGCTCATCCAGGAGGCAAAACTCCAGGCGGACTTCATTCCGGAGTGAATTGATGGTACAAAATACTAGATCCAATACGCTTACCTCCCACGATTGATTCCTCTGTCATCCATTCACATTAGGGCCGGCATGGATCATGGGAGGTAGGGGTATCTGGATCTGATATATAGGCCCCCTGACCCAACCGTCATTATCAATGCTACTTGCTCACTGTTGGACACCAGTGCCTCTTCTGTGCCTCTTCTGAGTCCTACTCCAGGACGTGAATGCCGGTGGCAAATGGGGTAGGCGGCCGACGGCCCCTGCATGTGGCCTATGGGCGGTCCGAAAAGCAAGACGCCGTTTGGAGGGTCGATACCCAGCTTCACAAAACGTTCCGGAGAGAGAAGTGGCCTGCTCCATCATTGAACCGGGCACCACCAATGGCATCAACTTCATCGAAAAAGATGATGCACGCCTTCTTACTACGTGCCATCTCAAACAGCTCCCGAACCATCCTGGCACCCTCTCCTACATATTTCTGGACAAGCTCAGAGCCAATGACACGGATAAGAGTAGCATTGATA